ATATATATATATTGGAAGCTGACATTTAGAAAGATACTTTTGGAAGAAAGTGATTGAAAGGTTAAAGTCAATGAGTAACTTTCACTGCTATGGCAGCAGTTTTTTTTGTGTCAAAATTCAAGACAAAAGAAATGGCTTTGTCTTTATTAATCTGACGGGAGCTAAACGTCCCAGTGTCCAGTGCGAATTACCCCACTTGTGCTTTTCTGTAACATTTTGCGACAGAAATCTGACACGGCACAAGTCTGAAGTGCTGCAGTTATATTAAGAGGCAGTCTCCAACAGTGGGGGTGGGTAAATTTGACATATCATCAGCTGTTCAGAGGAGTATGACAGATTGTATTATTAAACAGAAACACCACTGTCCAACCTTTCCTCCTCCATGGTTCTAAACGCAATAAATAGCTGCTGCACCTACTTTGTTTTTTTACAGAGCAAAATGAATAAGAAAAAACTTCTATTAATAATGTTTGAGTCAAAGCACAGCTACAGTATGTTCTTTCTTTTCTCCTTACCATCATGAATCATACATAAATATTGTCAGCTGGTCCACCCACTGACATTTTGTTTAACACATTGCATGTATTTGTTTGCCTGAGAAGGGAATAAATGTCAAAACAACAGGGCGTTAAAATAGTAACTGTAAACAGATCATCCGGATTTTGAGTTGTGGCACAGTTTTTCACAAGCTGCTCTACAACTCCTGACAATTGCTGATAGCAGGGAGATGATGTTCTCAGATGAAGTAAAATATCACATTTAATGCTGACAAGTACATTACATTAGGGCAATTAATTTTTTACAAGCACAACACTAACTGTTTGCTAAGCCAGCACATGTACTGTAGGTAATGCTGTTTTACCTGACTTTCTTTATCACTGCTTTGTTTACCACAGCCAATATGCCACACTTATTATTCCACTTTCATTTCACAGGAGCTAAAGCAGCGGTTTCTACACTATTTTCCTCAAAGCCGCTCTTTTTTTACTTTTGAGCCAAGCTGAAAATAAAAAAAGTCTGAGTTATTCAGTTTTACTTATTTAAATAGACTTGTTTTGTTGATTTAATATTGGCGATTGGTTTAGCATTTGCAGCAACTTTATAAATACGTAACTCCCAATAAAATGATTTGTTTAGTTTTTTTCCCTGCCACTAAATGTTTTAAAATTCAACATGATCATGAATAAATTCACTAATATTATCTTTCACATGCAACAGTGACGTGTTTTTTGACTTAATGCAAAGATTAAAGCTATAAGTAATTTGTGTCCAGAGTCAAACAGTGATATCAACCTTGAGCCTAGGACAGTTTTTGTTCCACTGCTAGAGTCCTCTTTTGTAAAGAGCAAATGTTCTTCATCAGATCTTCAGATCTTTCCACCCTCTACCTCAATTATATATGTATATATGTATATATGTGTATATGTGTGT